CCCACCGTTCCAACCTTGTCCTCCTCCAAAGTTGCCATGCCATCTACCACTGTTGCCGTGAGAGAAGTCATGGCGATTGTTGTGACCGCCAAACTTTCCACGACCCCGTCCCCTTCCTCCTCTACCATCTCTGCCTTGCTGTGGAAAACCACCTCCGGAACCCGGATGAAAACCCCGAGCAAAGCCACCGCCATGCCCGCCAGCACCGAAACCCTAGCGATTGTTTCTCTCCATTGGCGAAGAACTAGCGACAGCGGCGTAGGAGCGAGCGCGAGAAGGAGATCGATCTCCCACCAAACACCTGCGCCTCACGGTACCAGTTTTCGCAAAAAGAGCAACTAACCCGGGTATGGGCCTATAGGGGATAGCGGGCTTTGGATAAGGGGTACATTGTGGACTTACGTTAATTGATTCAGATTTTGTAACCTCCGGAAGTTTGGGAAATTCCAAATTCGTCACCGTCGGATGAAGTGGAAACCTCACCGAATCGGAAGACTTCACCGGAGAAAAATCGGACTTTTGAAACCGCATCTTCCCCACCAGAGGAGATTGAAATCTCGCCGGGGTAGAACCAGAAACGGTCGCCGGGAAAACGGATGATACCTTCCCTTGCAGCGCTGAATAGATAGCCTCACCAACAGTTCTCGGCGGAGACTTCCTCGGCGACGGCAGCGGCCCACTCCATGGCTTTGATGCGCACTCCAGAGAAGATGACACCAACGGCCAAGACTCCTCACCATGCAAAGCCTGCAAAACTGAAAAACGAGAACCAGAAGACTCACCGATTCCATTTTCCTGATGATCAACAGCAGCAACTGAGACATGCACAGGCTTCGGCCTCAACGCCGAGGCCGCCGCGACCTCAGCCACATGGCGTAGCCGAAGACGATACTTGCAAATACCTCCTTTGTTCCAAAATAGGTGACATTTAAGAATATATGTAGCTGAATCTCTAAATCTTAACTTGGTAATAAATACACAATGTTGAAATTTGGAGTACATCAGTTGATCAGTAGTACACATGTGATGAAAAATATATGAGAAAGCTTCCATATGGCTGAATTTTTAAAACTACTACTCACATCGTTCCAAAATAAGATCATCTTTGCCTCCTTTTAATTGTCAAAAATAAATTCATCTTTGAGCAATTATTACATTGAAATATGTAAAAGGGGAAAATAATTGTATTGGGATTTCATAAAATGAAGCGTTTTTTTTCTTTTGTGATAGTATGGGCGTGATGGGTGAAAAAGAAAGTTATTTTATGATTAGGCGAGCGTTTGAAAGGGTGATAAAATTTCCTCGTTTTCCACGTGCATGTTTCCTAGACTACTAAACGATGTGTTTTGTTTCAAAAGAAATTCTATTGGAAAGCTCCTTTAAAAATCATATTAATCCATTTTTGAAGTTTAAAATCATACAATAGTGGGTCACTGGGTCACCACATTTTATGTATCTTCTTGTTTCCCCTCCTCTAAGGCAACAGAGGAGATTCACTGGTGGAGAAACCATCTTTGGTCGGTCAACCCAAATCCACAATAGTCCCGGTTCCATTAAAAACCGGGACTAAAAACGATTTTTAGTCCCGGTTTATAAGCGTAACAGGACTAGATCATCTTTATTCCCGGTTGGGGTTACCAACCGGGACTAAAGATCATCTTTAGTCCTCTTTAGTCCCGGTTGGTAACACCAACTGGGAATAAAGATGATCTTTAGTCCCGGTTGTCTATAAGTCAGACCATGTCAGGCGGCTAGGATCTTTAGTCCCGGTTGGTAACACCAACCGGGACTAAAGATCTAACTTTATTCCCGGTTGGAGTTACTAACCGGGAATAAAAATCAACACGTACTATATAATCCCTATTACTTATCCTCTTTTCCCGTCCACACAACGAACTCTTTCTCTATCTCTTTTTTCCTCTCTAACTCCCTATCCTTATTATTTCTTCTACCTTCTTCCTTAGTTCTTCTTCTTCCTTAGCCCGCTTGGATCGGAGCGAGAGAGGCCAGCCACTTGGAGCGAGAGCAGGCCGAGCGGCAGCCGGCGCGGCGGCGCGGAGGGACGGGCGGCGGTGGCCGGCCGGCGCGGAGGGGAAGCCGGCGCGCAGCAGCGCGGAGGGCCGCGGCGGCGGCGCGGGGGCCGGCCGGCGCTGAGGGGAGGCGGCATGGAGGCGGGCAGCGCCGCGGCGGCGGCGCGGCGTCGGGCAGCGCCGCGGGGGCCAGCCGGCGCGGAGGGGAGGCGGCACGGCGGCGCGGCAGCAGGCGGGCGGCGCGATGGCAGGCGGGCGGCGCGGCGGTGGCCGGCCGGCCGGCGTGGAGGCTAGGCGGCAGCGGCCGGCCGGCTCCTCTGTTGTTTTTTTTTTTAAGAATTTGTGATTTATTGCAGCATCATGTGATGAATTTGATTTGTATGTGATGTGAACTTGTGATGTATTTGTGATGAATTTTGTAGAAACTTGTGATGTAATTTGATTTGTGTGTAATTTTTTTTAGGATTTGTGATGTATTTGATTTGTGATGTAATTTTTTAGAACTTTAAAATTTGTAATGTGGACTTAGGATCTTACTTCGATTTGGGATATGCATACCACCTATATTAGGGAGAAAATAAATAAAGGATATGCATACCACCCAGATTCGGAAGAAAATAAAAAAGGAAAAAAAAACCTGGCTATCCTCTTTAGTCCCGGTTGGTAACAACAACCGGGACTAAAGATACCCTATCTTTAGTCCTGGTTGGTGTTACGAACCGGGACTAAAGATACCCCATCTTTAGTCTCCGATTGCTACTCCTGGTTGAAAACCCGGGACTAAAGGGGGTTCCCAACCGGGAGTAAAAAGGGTTTTTCTACCTGTGATTGTCCGTATGAAAAAAAAAGAAGCTTCAAAAGAAAGAAAGGAAGGAAGACAACAAGATCAGGAAGGTAGAACTGTACTACAGCTAGCAAATGGATTTCTGAAGGAGGTCACACGCAACAAAGGTCTTGTTAAAATCAGTTTGATTTTAAGAAATAGCTTGTCAGAAGTCGGTTTCTAATAATTTGGAGAAGTTGATATTCAGTTCATTTTATGATTTCTGTAACTAAAGCTTCTCAAAATCTGAACGAACAACATAATCGTTTAATTTGAGGAGAAGTTGTAGCTATCTATGAGAATCTCGTCAAACATACGCAGGGTACCATCGGTAAGACTACAACATTTAGGGCATCTACAATGCAAGACACCCATATAGTGTCCTCACTAACTGAATACACCCATATGGACATTCGTCTCACAATGGAGGCCACAACTAGATGGGTTTCTCAAAATCTATGGGTATCCCTACCAAAAAGTCACCGCATTAAATTTCCTCATCTACCCTCCTCGGCAACTCCTCCCTCTCTCTCGTCGCTCCCCTTTCTCCCAATCTCACGCGTCGAGCCCCTCCCCAACCGCCGCCGCGCCTCCCTCCTCGCCCTCCCCAGCAACCGCCGCTGCGCCTCCCTCCTCTCCCTTCCCAGCTGCTACCACCGCTGCCGCTTTCTCCCGCGAGATTTGGATGTGGGGAGCCACGGTGCTGCCTCCTACTCCCAGCCCAGCGCGTCGGCGGCTCGGCGAGCAACGCGCGGATCCGTCGTCGCCGCCGGCATCGTCTCCAGGTCATCGCCGGCTTCGTCTCCCTCTCCCTCTCGCCGCCAACTCTCACCTCTCTCTCCCTCCCTCTCTCTCTCTCTCCCTCGCCGCCGCCGCTGGCCTCTCTCTCCCGTCACCGGCGGCCGTGAGGGCGATGAGTGAGAGGGGCGAGGGGTGGAAGGGGAAATTTTTTGTGGGAACGGTGTCCACAAGCCACGCTCGCGTCCAACGTGCCCCCTCGGCTGCGTTCCCTGCCAAAAGCGAGCAAGGGACGCGCGTTCTATCGCGGGGGGGGGGGGGGGGGGGGGGGCGGACGGAAAGGCTAACGAACGTTGCTAGGGGCACGGATCGAAGCTACGCATTGGTGATGGCCTTATCGGTTTTGTTTAGGGAAACCATAACCCTACTGTTTTAGTAAGATGACAAAGAATCAGTTGGTCTACTTCTCTACTACTAGTGGAGAGTGGAGTGTAGGCAGCTGCGGCGTGGTGGGGGCGGTGTGTTTGGGGGTAGTGGTGGGCGCCCGCCACTGGTGGTGTGTGCCTCCGGCAAGCCGGCAGTCACGTGAACGTCAATTCCATCCACTCACTGCCCCACCCCACCCTCCCTCACATGCGTTGCCACGCTCATCTCTATTGCTACTACTGCTACCAACATTGTTCGACAGAAAACGAAATATTTTCAAGTAGTAATATCTTTTGGAACAAAAGGAATTTCGCAAAAACGATAGAGAAATCAAACCAATCTCTACTAGTACTCACAAACACTGGCGTGTATATGTAGTTGCTGCTGGTCGTTGCATGCACGTACGAGCTCGTTCGTTTTGACTTGGGATGCATGATTGGTAGCACTAGTACGGTGTACTCCAAAAATAGCCGTTGCATTGCATGTCCGGATTCGTTATCCAGATCTATACGATTATAACTACTTATCGATCTCACTTATATCACTTGGACTTTAGCTACTAAGTAGGAGTATCAGTGTATCACTCACTCTCTCCCGGTCGGATAACACAAAAACCTCTCTGTTTTCTCCGACACGTACGCCCAATCATCAACACAGCTACAACTATATCTAGCTATCCAAGGAATCTTTCATGCATCCTCTTCTTGTGTAGCTCTAGTCCAACTACAGATCACAATGTCAAGAGAAACCAATCTTAACTTAACATTATACCCTACCCGTATCTATCTAACCACATACCACCAAAAAAAACACCTAAATTCTATTCCAATGATTTCATACTAGACATTTCCAAAAACTATCAGCCGCTGACTACCTAATATTTATAACTATACTAGTAATAATTTATTTTTTGCAGCAGCAACAGCGCTAGTACTAGTGCAGTAGGGTTGTTAAACCACTCTCACTCATGGTGGAAGACGGCAAAAGTGAAAAGGCGCCTTCACTGCCCAACGCACGTAAAAGCAAATGTAGCCTTTCCCGAACTCCAACCCAATTCCAACTAACCACCTACGCTTTCCAGTTACTCTCCAGCCTTTCCCTACGTCACCGACACGTGGGCCCCACCCACGCTCTCTCCCTCAGTTCTGACACCAAAAAAGCCATGGATGAATTACGAGGTCGTGGTAAAAAAAAAAACATTACAGCGAACACCTCACGGGCATTACATCGAACACCTCGCCGACGCCGGCGGCGGATTAACGAAGCCAGCGGCGGAGGTCGGTGGTGGATGACGGAGAGACCACGTCCCCGCCGAGGCTCTCCGCGCAGGACGACGACACGTTCGACCGCTGCTCCGACGAGAACCTCCCCGCCGCGCTCTTGAAGCTCGGGCTCCGCAGGCTCTGCGCGTACGCGCCGTACGGGTCGATGGGGACGGGGAACGACAGCCGCTTCTTCGCTCCGCCGCCGCCGCCGCCGCCGCCGAATGACATCCTGTCGCGCTCCGGCGTCGCCGGGCGCTGCCGCGGCGCGCTCTGGGAACGCACCCGCGCCTTGGCGGACTCCGTCGCCGCCATGTAGTTCGGCACCGCCGCCGCGCCGCCCGACGACGCGTGGTGGCGGTGCGAGTGAAGGCTCGGGGTGTAGCTCCCTCCCCCGCCGCCGCCGCGCTCCACGCGCGGGCTTGCCGACCGCACCTGGATCGGCGGCCGCGCCTTGGATGGCGACGGCGTGACCGGCGAGTGGTGGTGCGCGCGGTGCATCGGCGACGACGACGCGTGGTACGACGCGTTGCCGTGCCGGCGTGGCGTGGAGTAGGAGAAGGGCCGCGCGGTGTCGATCTCCAGCGTCTTGACCTGGTCGCGGTGGTCGGTGGACGCGCGCCCAGGCGCCGCCGCTGCGGAGGCGCGGACGGTGCTCCTGCTGGTGTCGAACGACGCGCGCGACGCCATCCACCTCTCCGCCCACCTCGGCTGCCCATCGACGTCCATCTCCTCCACCGACGGCGCCGGGTTCCTCCAAATCTACCACATTACACCACCACCAATGAAATCGACCACGAACACCACTCGTTTGCGGAAATGACAGGAAGAGAAACTGTCATATTACTTGATGGGAGAAGGCGTAGGAGAGCGCCCTCTCACGCTTGAGCGCGGCGTCCTTCCTCGTCTGCAGCATCGCCTGGATCTCCTCTATCGTCCGCGGCCGGTCGTCCCAGTCGTCGCCGGCGGCGAAGCTGCTGCCGTCTCGCGACCGCTCCTGCAAACAAACAAACCAATGAGAAGCTTGCAATGTGAGGACGAGGACGGGGCAAAGAAAGTGGGAGGAGAAGTGGAACTGACGATGGAGCGGCGGTCGGCAGCGGCGAAGTCGTGGGTGTACTTGGAATCCCAGAAGGTGGAGGTGTCGACGCTGTAGGAGGACTTGCTGCTGCCGCATGGCGCGGCGGAGGCGGCGGCGGCGGACAAGGAGATGGAGTCCTGGGAGAGGCGCATCCGCTGGTCGCGGACGCGGGCCTGGACGCGCACCAGCGCCTGCATGCAGCGGAGCGTCATGTTGGCCTGCTTCCGCACGTTGTGGCCGCGCACCAGCGCCTGCAGCTTCACGAGCCCCTTGAGCGCCCGGAGCGCGCGCCGCGCCAGGTACCCGCGGAACGCGGTCTGGACCACGATGGCGGCGTAGTGCTCGCGGACGAAGCTGGAGCTCGGACGCGTCAGCCGGACCACCTCCGCCGCCGCCTGCGCCGTCGCCACCGCCGCCTCCGCGGTCGCCGCCGTCGCCACGGCGAGCGCGATGGCGTGCCGCTGCTCCTCCGTCACGGCCGCCGCCCTCGATTGCTGCTGCTGCTGCTGTGGCGGCGGCGGTGTCGGAGGCGCGGGAGACGGCGACGAGGACTTCCTGAAGAGCCATCTGCGGCGCTCCCTCTTGCCCTGGACAGAGAGAAGAGGAGAGAAGTGAGCGAAGAGAAGGTGTTCGACGAAATGCGAGTAGGCGGGTGGTGGCGGACCTTGTCGTCGTCGGTGTCGTCGCGGAGGCGGGCGGCCTTGTTGGGGGAGTCGTCCTTAGAGGGGGAGCGGAAGGCGCGCTTGACGGCGGTGAGCCAGGAGGAGGTGGTGCCGGCCTTCTTCCCCATCAATGGCGGCCACGGGCATTGACGTACGGGAGGTGTCGCAACGGGCGGCACGAGGTGAGGTGTATGAGTATTATTGCAGCTGGGGTAGCAGTGACAGTGGCTCTCATGGCTCACGCGCTGCTGCCGCGCCTTTTATGTGGTGGAGGAGCCATTAAAGTAAGCTCGCTCGCTCGCGCGGTGGAGAGAGTGAGAGTGAGAGAGTGGGGGAGGGAGACGACGACTGGGTCATGTGTGGCTGGCAGGTGGGGCCCATGTTCGTGAAGAACATTACGGGGGGGGGGGGGGGGGGAGTGAGTGGGTGAACGTTGCGTTGCCTTCCATTATTCCGTTCGTCCGGTATGATGATTCATGAACCGCTGCGCACCTGCAATCTCTGCATCTCATCCTGATGATGTGATTTCAAGTTTCAATCGCTTTCTCTCATTTATGTTTGGTTCACATCAAAATTAATAGTTTGGTATTAAAAATTTACGTGTGTAGAAAAATTTTGATGCGATAGAAAAGTTAAAAGTTTAAATAATTAAGCCCTAGGACACTAGGAAGCTGGCTAGGGCTGCCTAGGGATGGAGAAGTGGAAGGCCCGTGAAGTGGTGAACCCTCAGACCGTTCACAATGCAGGTACTCGTAGTGATACCTAAGGTAGTGTTTGGTTGCAAGGATGGGATGGGACGAACCCACTTTTAAGGGTGTTCGGTTTAGGGGTGGATGGGATGGGTTGGTCCCTGGAGAGGAATATTCCTCTCAGATCCGGGACCAACCGATCCGCCAAAAACTGGCGGACAAACTCGTCCCACCTGGGACGAGCGACGGCGTCACCGCGCCATCCACCACCTTCGCGAGCTCCGCCGGGCGCCCACGAGCGTCGCCGCCTCGTCCACACCCGCCGCCACCTCCGCACGTCCTTCTCCGCCGCCGCCGCCTCCTTGAGCGCCGCCGCCTCTGCCTCGTCCGCGACCGCCGCCGCCTCCATGAGCGCCGCCGCTTGCCCGCGACCACCACCTCCGCGCGTCCACGAGCGCCGCCTCGCCTCCGCGGCCGCCGCAGCCGCCTCCACGAGCTCCGCCGCTCGTCCGCGACCACTACCTCTGCGAGCACCGCCGCCACCTCCGCGCGTCCACGAGCGCCGCCTCGCCTCCACGGCCGCCGCCGCCGCCTCCACGAGTGCCGCCGCTCATCCGCGACCGCCACCTCCGCTAGCACCGCCGCCGCTCCACTCAGATCCAGCCGCCGCCTCGCCTCCGCGCCCGGCGCCTCCTCCGCTTCGTCCATGACTGCCGCCACCTCCACGAGCACCGCGACCGCCATCTCCACAAACTCCGCCACCTCTGCCTCGTCTACGACCGTCGCCGCCACCTTCGCAAGCGCCGCCGCCGGTCCTCTCAGATCCGGGCGCCGCCGAGTGCCTCCGCCCCTAGACGGCACTAACGGTGAGTACAAATCCATCCATCCCATCCCACCTCAATCTCTTCTACCAAACAAAAAACTATAACCATCCCATACCATAAACCAAACAGACAACTGGAACCATCCCATCCCACAAAACTAGGATAGGTCTGACCCATCCCACTTCGTCCCCAAACCAAACACTACCTAAGAGAAACGGTGAGCCGGATCCCAAGTTAATCGCTCGAACCTTCACGTGAGGACGCGCGCGCACGCCCTACCTGCGCGAGACACTCCTCCGTGCCTATGTTGGCTAGGTCGCCTCCTCACGTTTAATTACATCTGGTCGTCCCCTCATGTTTCATCTGGTCCGGCTAGCCCTATTCAGATTGTTGCCATGATCGAGTTTGATACTAGGGTTTGACGATGAAGTCCTCGGTAGCCAGGATGGGCGGCACACTCAACTATGGATGTGTCATGCATGTTGCTTCACAGAGGAGGTTGTGCTCGATGCACCGCCCATACAAGTTGCTGCGTGTTTTTGGCCCTCCTACTCATGCATGTTATTCAATATAGCATCAAATTAGACTTGCGCATTCTTGGTTTTGATGCTATATTGAGAAGTATATATACTATATGTAACTGATACTAGTACTAGCTAGTATGTTTAATAAAGATTTAGAAGTAGCTAGCTCTTAATGAAGGGACAAGGATCATGAGGGACACGGACTAATGGAACAGTAGCACAGATCGATTCTCCTAGTAGGAGTATATATATCGCAGCCGATCGATCTTCCGTAGCAAGAGAAAACATCGGATGGACGATCGATGGGACTGTACTGGTTGAGGCGAATGGAGATGGTGGGGCAGCTACCGTACTATATGCAGTTATTCAGTTATATGGATTTATCCAGATTTATTGTATTAGATAATAACGTTAAATCTTATTTTCGATTTCTTTTCATATGAAAAGAGTAGCGCGTAGCAATGTTTGGTGGTGATATGTACGTCCCGCCCGCTTGAAGAGAGAAAAAAGGACAGGAGATGGATATTATTATGGTCATATCAGCACATGCATATGCCACTGGGAATCTGGGTTACCCTGATACGCCTGCATAGTTGCGTATCCGTATCGGATACGGCAACGGTTACGGATACGTATCGGATACGCTCTGATACGTATCCCATACGTATCCCCATATTTTTGCGATTTCCAAAAAAATAAATAAATCGAGATACGCCAGCGATACACCCACGACCTTCCTCCGTCTTCGCTCACATCTGGGATGCGCCGCCGCACGAGATCCGGCCCAACCTGATGGCTGATGTCTCTCGTGCGTGCCCGGCGTTGCCGCCGGACGCCGGCTGCAGCCGCGCGTGGGGCCACAACGTCCCCTCCGCGAGACGGCAGAGCCGCCACTGCTGGGCGGCGGCGCACCTCTTTCGCCGCCAACCTCGACGGCAAAACTTTTTCTTTCTTCGCTTGACCGCCTGGCTGGGTAATCCATTCTCTTCAAAAGTTTCATGCTTGAATCTGCTGTGCCTTTCTTGTTTTCCTTAGGACAAAGTACTACCGTTTTTGTTAGATACAAGTGGTAGTGCATCTAGCAATCCTAGTGGTTACTGGTTAGTGCGGCTGCTAATGTTGATGCAAAGTCATCAAGAAATATACTATTAATCTTTGGTTTTGGGGATCTTAATCGCTTCTTAATTTGAATTGCTTATAGAAGAGAAAATTGCAGAATATTGATATGGAATCGGCTACACTAATACTAGTATTATATCGCTATTTCTTTACAAAAGTTCCTTGATTTTTTTGTATTTTTAATATATATAAATACAATTTCCTTAATTTTTTGTGTGTTTTTAATATATATATATATAAGCGTATCCCTGTATCCTTGTTTTTAGGAAAATACCGTATCTCTGTACCGATGTATCGCGTATCCCCGTATCTGGGTAACTTAGCTGGGAATTGAAGCATCAAGCATGGGCGATCGATCGATGCAGAGTGTGTGGCCAGACCAGTGGTGGCCCGGCCGGACGGCTGTGGGTAGTGTCGCATGTTTTGCAGCGACTCACGTGGCATTTGTACTACAGCTAGCGTGGTTAATGATACGATGGGGCCGGCTGGGAGTTTAATGATGGATATGGATATGGATGATGCAGTAGATCGATCATGTGGGGAACTTGCTCCAGTCCAGTTTTGAGCAAAGAAAAGTGGGTGTCATACGGATAGTGTGTCATATGGAGGGAGTACACTAGTACTCCACTCACACTCTCGCTACAGAGTAGGGAGTAATCCAACAAAAACTAATCAATCCAAATCCTAGTATGTCTCCTATCCATTGTCATTAGGCTAGCTGAAACAAACAAAGCATGCAAAAAGGGAGAGACTGCTTTATTTGGCCCCCTACACGTTGACAGTTGACTCACCAGCTGGTGCATATATGCTCGATAATACAGTAGTGATCACTTAATTAAACGTACTCGTGACAATTCTTTTGCGTATTCGCGAAAAAATTAAACTCAATTACTCTACTACTCCTCCCTCCGTTCCAATAAAAGACAAACTCTGGGTTTATGTGTCCAACTTTGACTGTCCGTCTTATATGAAAACTTTTTATAATTTATATTTTTATTGTTGTTAGATGATAAAACATGATTAATATTTTATGCGTGACTTGTCTTTTTAATTTTTTTTTCATATTTTTTCCAAATAAAACGGACGGTCAAACGTTGGAAACGGAAACTAGAGTTTATTTATTTATTTTTTTACTACGGAGGGAGGGAGTACTCCGTAGCAATAGCATGCGTTGGCGACGCGGCAAACGAGGCAAAAGATTGATGGCGGCGCGGGGATCGACGACGACGACGACGTACGGTAGCCGACCGCCTGACTGCCGCCAACTTGGCATTGTGGTTGCAGCCAGACTCGATCACGCGTCTGACGTGGCCGTCCGTCTCATTGTCATTGTCTCGTCCAATCCAACCACCTCAATCATCCCACTGTATTCACCGCTATCGGAGTACTACTACTCTCCTCAGGGTTCACGATTCCGGTGAACCGGTCAAATTCTGCGAAATTTCGAAGTTTTGTTCGATTGGAATTTTAAAAGTTAGAGACTATTTGTCACAGCTAAAGTTTCAGCTGGAGCTCAGCCAAACAGTTTCAGCTCCACTAAAACTCGGAGTGGAGTTGGATGGAGCTCTCTCACAAAATGTACTAGAGTTGTGAGCTGGGTTTAGACAGCTCCACAACTCCACTTTAAACTCAACTACTGGAGCTAAATTTAGGAGTTGGAGCTGTACCAAACAGACACTTAAACAGTAGATTTGGTCGAAATTTATTGAAAACCGTGATACTGATGGGATTCGAAATTTAGTGGTCAACCAGTAATATAAACTCTAGTCACCATCTACAGCTCATTACGCCTGCAAAATTTCAATCAAAACACACTCATATCCTGGTTTTGATTATTTCTATTCTTAGATAAATTACTAATTTATTTTTATTTTAGTACGGATGAAGTATTCCATCTGTCTGAAAAAAGACAACCTGTCTAACGTTGTTTTAGATTGCGTCAAATTCTCACTTAAATTATTTTTTTTGCGACGGAGAGAGTACACGTGACAACTATAAGAATACGAGTAGAGTTGTATTTGCTGGCTTAAAAAGAAAAAGAAAACTACTCCACAGTAAGCTGGTCCCTCTGTGTTGGCACGATATTAAATCACACAAAATCGTGGATTGGATATCGCTTGATGGCATTGGTGTCATCG